GCATGAATGATGATGAAATTAGTAAAGTTTAGATTTATGAGAATTCAGAAGTAGAGCATGCTGAATTGAGATTGATTCATGCCAAGATGATTGAGTTAATCTTAAGCACTGTAAGCTGGGTTTCATCAAAAATCTTGACTGGTCATGTCTTATGGTTAATTTTAGTAAAAGTTTCCTTACTTTCGTTTTCATCATTTACTTATCAACATCTACATAAGTTACATTAAGAATTTTCTTCATATTATTTTATTTATAATTTCCTCATTAAAAGGAGTTATGTTTCACTAGGTTTGCACTTCTAATTAATTTTTATCTCCTTATTTAAAATAAAGTTTTTGGAATTGCGGGACTCTTTAGAAGAGTAAATCTAGACAGATGTTATCAGATCTTTGTTGCATTTTATTTTCATGAGTACCTTATAATTCCTTTAGTATTACCATTTATAATTCAAGTGTAAGCTTACCGTGCACTGTTCTCACATTTAAAGGACACGGTCCAGAATGATTTAAAATAATTAATAGCACTCATTATATACCTATTTATGTTTTTTTGCTTAATAATGAGAAAGTAGCGTCAGAATATAATTTCAAGCAAGTCATAGATAAGAAAAGATGTGTTTGCACAGAACGAAAATTTCAAAATATTTCCAGGTTTGTATACTGTGCTGTAGCTGATAACATTTAAATCAATCAAATCAAATTAGATTCCTTTCTAAATATTTTATGATCTGTGATATTTATGGTATTAATTCGACCATGTTTTCTCAACTTGTCCGGAGTGTCAAGGAGACCTTGTGGAACGTGCCTAGTCCCGTGCCTTCTGCCATAGTATTCGAGATTTCCAGCATTTTATCATTGGCTGGGTACATTACTAAATGTTTCGCCCGCATCGTGAGCGGCGCCATCGTTAGGACAGAGTTACAACTTGTTAAAGTGACAAATGAAGCAATTTTCTGTTCAACCGTTGTGGCATCACTCCTTGCACTTATTTTTTGTTCTACCCTCTAGTGCTGCATCTCTTTCTATCAACCCTACTTTATTGGCTCGTCCACTTATTCACACAATTCTGTTCTCTCATTTCCTCCCATGTCGCCTAAGAGTGTGTCGGTACAAGGGGGTATAGTGAAGCGTAATCATCTCCACCACCGATACCTGGTGCCGTTTGCAGGTATCCTGACTTTCATTCTGCCTCCCCTTTTTTTCACCCCCACTCGACAATTGGCCGCTGCTAAACATCAAAGTCACTGTTTGGCTGTCGGAAATCTGGCTGTCTAAGAGCCTTCAATTCCCGTCTTCAATTACGCCTTATTCGAGGATTTAGAACAGATGATGCCCATTTTCATGTCTATGCAGATGCCAATGTCTGGGTCTCTTCCTCTTCAGTGGCTTCAGACCCATGGCTCGATTATCCTCTTCCTCATCCCCACCCCCCTTGTGTCTCATGCTTTGGGATCCGGTGTCCGGCCTAAGCCATAACCGCTGAAGTGAGAATGCACCACTTCCCTTTGTCCCCTTTGAATCGAGAAAAACACACTCCCTTCTCAAGTTGTCATACCCATCTAATCCTAGGGTACTTGGGTGATGTCCCTGTGTGTGTGTGTTGGCTGGTATCCCCCGTAGTCAAGCCTGTTTCCAGTTGCCTTCCCTTAGGACACAGATACGAAAGCTTCACACAAACACCTACGCACACACACTGTTGACTTATTTCTGACCAACCTATACTTTTAGCCTTTCATTTCACATCATACGTCTACCCCTTGAGTAAATATTTTTGCCGATTTCCACGTTTGACTTCTTTCTTTCCTTTTGTTTATCATGATCTGCTCCTTGATGCTGTCGTTTCTGTTGTTAAATACCTTTCCTGGGTCCAATCATCTTCTTTCTGATGCATTTGCTGAACCTCCAAGTCTGACCAGGCAATATGCGAAATTATCGTGGTCTCTTCCCTCTTCTAAGCTCCTGTTCATCAGGTTTATTTGAAATAGGATGTTCACAGACTGATATCGGCGTACCTTTCATTTCGTTTGTAAAGGTGGTTCGAAGGGATTTTCAGATTGGCCTCACCGCATACCGCAGAAAGGTTGCCTTGGGCTTTTGTCTGTTGAACTATGCGAAGAAAATCTCGGCTTACCGTCCTACTATCCCGCTGACTCCGTGCTGAGCTATCGTTCATCATGTGACAGACATCATCAGAGCCAGAAACCATTCTTCACGAATTAATCACCAAAAAACACTAAGCCATGAAAGGTGGCCAGCTGAAATACTACATATTTCTTATACCTCACTTTGTGATATTAATGAGGCATTTGATTATTTTGTTTGCCATTTTATGCTTGCCCCGCCTGCATGTAAAGAGGTCGAAGTGATGCAAGAAGGAGAGCGGATGTGGTCACAACTTATGTCAATGTTTGATCCTGTAGTCCTCCGTCTTGTTACAGCTTCGTGGATGCGTGTTTGTGTATGTATGCAAAACCCGAAGTTGGTTGACAATTTTAGGTTCAAAAACAGACTCCAGCCTAATCTAGTCTTCTCTTGTTACTCAGTGGCTCTCCCTGTTCCCTTTACTTATCTCTCTTTCTCTCTCATTCTATTCAGAAGCCAGCGGTAGTTCTTACTTAGTTTCCTGCATTCGTTCAACTTATTCAAGATGTTCTTTGTTTTTATTACTTTTAATTGATTCTCTGATCTTACGTTTAGCTGTGAAGTCCCCATATTCGGCAACACGTTGGGATTTTTATTACTCTATTTGGTGTAGTGTAGCGACCACATGTTCAGCCACTTCCGATTTCTTAATCCATAAACCCTTGCAGGCGGAGCTGTGCTCTAATAGCCTCTTATGTATGGGTAGACAAGCCTTCATCACATAAACACTATCAAATGTTCGCAAAACCTTATAACAACCTAATCTGCAGAGGGCGTGGAAAGATTCTTTATAAGAAGGCATGATTGAGGAAAGCGTTATTGTTTCTTTATACCTTGTCTTGACCCTCTATTTTCTCAATAATTCGTCTATCTTTCTTGAAAGCTTGCAGGATGATAGCATTATGAACACAAAATAATGCCTTTCCCTCACACTATTTCTCAAAAATTTGACATTTTTAACAATTAATCCTCAAAGATAATTGCTCTCAACTAAAATTTTTCTAAGCCTTTCTAGCTCCTGTACTTGGTGATTTACGTCGGCTAGACGTAAATTTCTTATTATCATTGATTTAATTCCGCCTACCTTAACATGATAGGTATGGTTCGAGAAGAATTTAAAAAGGAAATCAGCATTTCTGGGCCTCATATATTCATCTCTACACAGTTTGTTCCCTTCTTTACTAGCTAGGACATCTAAAAAGTGTAAATCTTTGTCCTTTTCTAACTCCATAGTGAATTTAGTTGCCTTATCTACTCTATGCATTAAACCAAGCAAGTCATCCAAACACTCTTTGCCATGCTGCCAGATAGTAAATTAATCATACAAATATCTGACCAATAGCTTCTGAACAAGGAGTCATACTTGAAAAAGCCAGGCTTGCAATTGAGCCATGTAGTAATTAGCTAAAACTGGAGACTAAAACAATCCCCTAAGTAACCCTCAGGCTTGGCCTTATAATTTACTATTAAAGATAAAATATGTACTATTCACTATTAAGTTCGTTAATCGCATGATTGACTCCTTGTTCATCCTATTTCCTGATATTATCTCTTGGGGTAGATCTAGGGTTAATCAAAATGCCTGTATGGCCCCACTTATTGGTACATTCGCATACATCGATACTAAATCAAAACTTACTAGAAAATCCACTTGTTCTACTATTTACTAGTCTATTAACTTTGTAAAGTCATAAGAATTCCTTAATGCAAATTTCCAAAAGTCTGAGATCAGCTCTAATTGATCACAAAGGAATCGTGATGTTTTATGCATCACACCACCATTCATGTATCAACAGGCTCCCTGATCTTCCGTTTCATGGTCTTTTTCCCTTATGAGGCTAGTCTTCGTTTAATTCAAGTCAATTGTGTGGCCGGTAATGGCGATGTGTTCAGCTATCTCCGATCTTACCGTATCTATATATATGCATAGTCGATGGTGTTCTTTGATCCTTGTGCTGATTGTCGTTCTAGTCTGTCTAATGCTATTTAGTTTACAGGCCTTGCAATTTATGATGTACACTCCGGAACACTCCATTGTGTTAACTTCTTCATGTTGTATGGACAAGTTGGTGAAGAGTGTTGTTCTTTCCTTTAGGATTGTACGAATGTTTTATTTCCCTAGTGTTGGCCATAGCTTCTGAGCCAATTCTCAGGAAAGTAAACATATCCATCATTTTTCCTCTCTTTATCTTGCTTTCCCTACATATTCTCCATCCTTCCATCTGCTTATCACCATCCGTATGTTGCGTTGTATTGCTTCTCCTGGATATCCGTTTCCAAGAAACCTCTGGGTTAGTTTTCCTGGTTTCTTACCACAGAACTCAGACTCAACATGTCGTAGGCTTATTATAACCATAATTCGGAGTATTACAATCTTCATTTCATAAGTATACCTCGACTGGAAATTATGAGCTATTAAAGCATGCGATTTCTTTCGGTAAAGTACTTCCTTAAGATTTCTTTAGAACGAATGCCCTCCCCATCCAAGAAAAATAAGTGTCCGTTCTTTCCATATCCATGTTAAATTTGACTATTTCATACATTTGATTTATGAAAATCAGGAAATCGTCTAATTTTTCTCTTCCATGCGACAAAATTTCAAAGTAGTCATCCAAATATTGCAAAATTACTGTTGGCCGCTGAGGTGATATTTTGAAATTCTCTTCCAACTTGTCCATGAAGACATTGCGAAGAAAAGTTGGGTTCCGAGGAATCCCTTGTTTCATAATTGTTGAGCTTACTTCCATTCTGAGTGAAGTTGTTGGGTGAAGAGATTCGAAGGTCGGTTCCACCAGAAGACGACGGCGGATTCCTCTTGACCAGATGTCGATTGGCTTAACTGGAAGATTCATACTGACGCTGTTTCCGAGGTAATCTTCTTCGATTACAGTGAAAAGGTGCTAAGTTTTCGTCCTTCATATGACGAACATCATCTGAACAAGGTAGTATCGTTTCAAAACAATTCAAGCTAACGAGTTAAGAAAATTCACCAGCAAATCTCTAAAAAGTGGTATATATACTCTACATCTGGCCTCTTTGATCAAGTATAAATTGATTTGGTTAGTTAAGGTCATATGTCAACTTCTATGCCTGTGAGCATGTCTGTCTCTGACCTGATTTGAACCAAATCAAGGACTAAACAATCGACAGCTGGTCAAGTTGAATCCTACGTCATCGAAGTCAAGAAAACTCGTCTTCTGGCGAAACCGATCTTAGAATCTCTTTACCCAACACTTTCACTTAAAATGTAAGTAAGCTCAACGATCATGAAGACATTAGCCAGCAGAGGTGAAAGTGGTGAGCCCATAGGCAGAAAAAATATTTGCTCATAGATGCTGCCGTTAAACAGGAAATAGGTCGTTCTCATTTTCAGATTGATCAATCCACTTCTCTCTGATAATGCCGATTACAATGTCTGCAAATCGTTTGGGAATGTACCAAGTTACTGGTCCAATGCTGGAGATAACCAATACTAAGGTAGAGGACACGAGACTAGGTACGTACAACAAGGTCTCCCTGGCTCCCTAACCAATTTGCGAAAACATGTTCGAATCAACACTATTGAGCTAAGAAAGACTGTGGTCAAACCATCTTGGTCTTCGTATTTGTGATATTTATACTTTTTAAAAACCATTGAAACCTATATAAACACTAAAATGATAATTGCTACAATGGTTTTGCTGATAAAAGTCATATGACTCTTTGCTTCATGCATATAACTTGTTATTTCTTCAACTTCTTACTTCAAGCCTAGGATAAGCTATCAAGTTCTAAACAGGGAAAAGAATATTTGGATATACAATTTTCCTACAAACAATTATATTTAATTTTTTCGCATCAAGTATTGTTTTGGGACTAGCAGTAAATCAGTAATATGAGATGTATTCACCCAATTTCGTTTAAGGCGATGAAGGACTGGTAGAAGAAAGATTTCCCCACACTTACATGAGTTGAGCTGACGGTTCCATTGAATTTCAGCTCAACTTATATAATTGTGTTCTTCTTCTACCAGTCCTTCATCACCTTAAACGAAATTGGGTGAATACATATCATATTACTGATTTACTGTTAGTCACAAAAACAATACTTAATTCAAAAAATAAAGTATAGTAGTCAATTGTTATAGCAGACAT